ATCAGCTTCAGAGACCTGTTCACTTGCTGCCTAATACATCCCACCCACTTTCAGGTACCATTGTAACCAGATAATCAATGTTATTCATTTTATGTCAGTAGTCATAATGATATGGCTGATTGGAATATAATTGCTATTACTGCTTATAAAGAGCTCCATCTAGGGTACAGTTGTCATGCTGATGTAGAAATCATGCCTCATCGTGGGATTCATTCAAAAGTCCTAACACATGATTTATAAAATCAGTCGTATGGGTAAATTGCAGGTTCTGACGTCAGCCTAGAGCAAATAGAAGTACTGTTGGAGGAGAATTTTATCAGTGTTGCGTTATAGAATCTTCTTCTGTATAGTCAGAAAAGATTATCTAAACACCTGTTAGCACAGACTACAAAAAGAAATAATCTGCTGTGGTATAGTAGGGGAGTATGGTACAATTATAGAACAATAATAACCTAAAATCGTTTGAACAATTACATGAAGAATGTGCTATTCCTCATTAGAGGTTCTTTCAATACCTCCAACTGAGACATGCCATACAGCCCCAATCCCAAACCCACACCCTACAACTTCAAAAATCCTCTGGTGTTTCCTTACTAACTAGTGTGAATCTTAAAAGGGACTCCCAAATGTACTTTGTCCTTCACACCAATTTCCAAACATCTTTGACTATACTGGCCAAAACATAATGGGTTAATGACTATCTCGGAGGACCAGTAAGAGATGGCACTTTCTGCGCTCCCCAAGTTTCTTTGTTCCCTACCCACAAACTGACTCAATTGTTCATCTTACATAGAATGTACTACACACCTGAAAAGCTATTTTTCTGGCCTCTGAGAGATGATCCCTTATGTCCTAAATGCCAGGGAGGTCTAGCTAACCTTCTCCACATGCTGTGGAGATGTCCTAAGCTCCACAGATATTGGAGAGGTGTCCTACCTATGATAAATTCTGTTTCATACCACTCTAGCTGAAGATCCAGGGATATGCCTATTAAATATGTTAGAGGAAATGTTGCCAGAACACAAATACATTTCTAGTAGGAATCTATTCCACGCCCGCAAGATGATAGCCTAGAAATGGTTCCCTCCTCATTCCCCAACATTGGAGGTTTTGAAAATGCTAATTAACCACTAACACGAGAAAAGGTGGTCCACCAACACCGCAACTGCCCTACCAACTTAGATAAACCGTTGGACCTATGGTTGGCCATCCCGAGCTTCGCCCTGACCTCACTTATTTTACACAGATTACTATCTTAAAGGGGAATTACATGACATGCTCTCAAATGGAAGATTTCCAGTCGACCGGGGATTCCTACTGATGTACAGATTTCAGGTCACTGATTCTCTAGGGGTGGAGCACACCATACACAGAAACACTTTGGGGTTTATTTACTAAAGCTGGAGAGTGCAATATCAAGCTCACTTCTGCATAGAAACCAATCAGCTTCCAGGTTTTATAGCCAGAGCTTAACTGAACAAGGTGAGGTTAGAAGCTGATTGGTTTCTATGCAGAAGTGAGCCTGATTTTGCACTGTCCAGCTTTAGTAAATAAACTCCTTTTGGGTTTGTTTGTTTTCTTAATTTCTTTTATTGTTCTTTACAGGATACTTTTTTTAGATGACAACTACATGTACATGGCAGTGCTTATGTATGTAATACTCTGCATTATACTAACTGCTCCTTAACGTTTATATACTAATGCTGAGATTGGTTTTACAACCAGATATATTATGTAGAAAGATGTCCACGTAACACATATTTTTGTGATTTGGAAAAGTGAGCGGTTTTTCTTAATGTAACAACAAATGCTCTAAATCAATAAAAAGTATGATTTTTTTTTTTTGTGTTTTTTAATTAAAAAAACAATTAGAAATCTAAAAACTGAATGGTAGGCATTTGACTTTTCCAAAACTCTACATTTTTGTTTTTCACATGGCTCTGTGAATATTCTTACAAGGACAGAGGGTTAACCTACCCATCAGGGACACAGACAAAAAGGGTCAAACTTCAGTACTCTATCCAAATAAAAAAACCTGCTTTTACACACATCATAACACTGTTAAAAGCTCTCCATACTTGTTGCGTTGTGGACACTCCTGCTATAAATTACAGCTTGTGAAGCTCATGACATATTTGTTGAGACTGGATTACAGGATGTTTTAATTTATTCCCATGGTGATGATGAAAACTATAATTTTTTTGTGGCATGTATCCAGTTATCTTGGTATGGTCTCTTATTATGAAAGTTTTGACTTGCCATGGCCATTGCCAGTTGTGATCTAGTTAGCACATGTTTGGGTTACGCTGTTTTTGTGTTCTCATTGACAAATAATTTAGTCATTTTTTGACTTAATGAACTTGCAATTTAGGTGTGAACCAACTGCAACCTAACTAAAATACAATAGGTCTGACTATATTCAGGTCTATTGTGGAGATTGGTCTTCAGGCACTGTTCACAGAAAACTGGACATTTAGACAGTACAAGAATGTTATGTCTTCTGACCTTGGATCTCATTATAACCAGCACTTGTGACACAATCATATCACGTTACCATATACAGCAGGACCTCTGTATCTCTTGACTATACCAGTCAGGACTTATCCAAGGACAGTGAAATAGTATAAGATATTACTCACAGGTGATGTCAGTGTGTGAGGCCCCACCTAGGTTTTAACTAACAATTATAAGTGCACAGAGATGTCCAGCCAAGTGTAGAGCATCATGAATATTACAAGGCAGGAAAGCCATTTCATATATACAACCCGCTATAATTGTAAAGGGATCACTGTGGACCCAAATATAATTACAGACTAGTACACATCAGGTTTCAGCACTGCTTGAGATAAAATCTCAATGTAATAATCTCCAAGAATACAAATAACACACAAAAATGGACAAGCAAAAATGGAAAGATTTTATTGCGATATTACACTGTACATATGGTCAACAGTATTCACAGAACAAGAGAGAAACATCTGCACAGATAAAAGGACAGGCTCAGTTAGAAATGGGTCCAGTCAGTATCAGTGGCCTCTCTCTCCAGGCGCTCCCCATTTGTGGAGACACTTGATCATTTTTGCACTTCACTCTAATAGGTAGATGTTTAAAGCTTTAACAAAGAGACAGAATATACAAGAATACAGAGATTACCTATTCCTGCCATGTAACATGAAGAGGCTCTCTGCCTGACTGTCATACTGACAATTTGGCTTCAATACCAAATCACAGGCCTAGAAAAAGTCTGAAAATCAGGATTTTGGCCTTTGTTACATACTTTCTTTGGGTCAGTACTTGTTGAAGCCAGAACATCAGCATGCAGCCAATCAAATATCATTTTCAAAAGAAAAGTAGCCTCCATATTTTTCCAATGACAGGGATTCTGTATTTTTTTTTTCTATAACTAGATCTCAGTGTGCAACACAAATGGGTCTCTTCCCATTCGTCTCTGACACAATTGGCATTTTCCTAAAGTGATACAATGAATACTATTCTGCTCATATAGACAACACTCCTGTAAGAGCCATTATACTAGCAGGGAAATATTCATTCCAGTTATGTCATGAGAATTCTACCAATAAACACAGAACACCTCTTCTTTACTCCAAATGGTACATCTCCCCTTACTGCATTGTTTACATACATAATGTGTGTGAATTAATGTTTCATCAGGATGGGGCCAGCTTTGTTCACACTGCTAATGAATTACTAGTACAACAATCAAATATGACCTTACTGACACTTTCAATTAAGAATAACAGCAGACATAGCAGGTACATTTAAAAAAAAAAAAAAAAAAAGCAGTGTGAAAAGTAATCCATAAAAACAACAAGATTGCTGTGATTTGAGTCCATTAAAAAAGGGAAAATTAAGTAGTTGCCAGGGGTTACTGAATTCTGTATATTATATCTTTAAATTGTCCTGCCTCACTAGATTTCACTCAAAGTAGAAGACTAGAATTTTCAACAGAGCCTTCGGTTTAGACATCAGAACAGTTTTTATAGTCGCACTGTCCATAGCACTAAAACTGCACACTTAATACAATGCCCACACAGCTCTACAACAGGAGAGTCCTCAAAAGCATTCTACCCTTAAAAGATAAGTGCACTTTAAATAAAAAGTGCCCTTGCCTTTTTATTCCCCCGTGTTCTGACCTAACCAATCCCACTTTCCACCTTCACATACTAAGAAACAATTACCACAGCCTCCAGGGGTTGCTTACAACCAGTGCTGCAAGTCTTCTCTGCCCTATCGATGTCTGTGCATTACAGCCCAGCCAGGAGAGGGCTCCCTTCTCCTCTCAATTCCCTGAGGCCACAAGTTGGTGGATCTCAGTAAATATGCATCTGTAAAAGGGGGTGGGTAGGAACGGTTAGGTCAGGATACAAGGGCAAAGAGTATAAATTCACTTTGTTTTAAAATGCAAACACTGTCTAGGTGGCAAACTGACACAAAATGTTGAGTAAGCTTCCTTAGTATTATGGAATGCTGATAACCTTGAAAGAAAGTTTTCATTCTGGTAAAAAAAAAAAAAAACTGAATACATTTAAAAAATGTATATATTTAACTATAAAACTTAAATCATATTGACTGCAGTTACATGAACCCTCCTAATAGAAAACGCTTTGAATGGAAAGTATTTTTAGGAAGACAGGCTGATTTAGTAAAGAAGTTGAAAATCTATCAATATATTGTGTGAATATTTCCTTTAAACTTATCCATTCATATAAAAAGTATCTGTACATAAGTGGGCATTCAAAGTGAACAAGAATTTGCTTTTTACATTACTGGATAATTATAGAACATATTCACACACTTTATTGTGTGAAGATCCTCAACTCCTTTAGTAAGTCAGCCTCGGAATCTTGCTACTCATGAAAACCAGTTAGATGTTCCCTTTCATTTGGATTTAGAAATAAAAGCAAAAGTCTTACTAGTATCCATGGAAAACAAGACCAGTCCATTCTTCAGACATTTCCAGCCTCAAAGCTCAGTATGTGCTAGCAGTGACTGGCTAAAACATTGAAGAAATGATACACCTCCGCTTTGTCATAAACCGCCACCTCTGTAGAACACTCATTACACTTCACAGGGTGGTACATTTCTGTTTCTGTATTCTGTACTTCTGAAGAAGAGTCTGCTAACTGAGCCTTGAACTTCTTGCGATTGCGTCTTCTGTGCTTTGTGGGCTGTTCTGGAAATTTAAGAACTTCATTCTTGTTGACGGTGCAATTCATAACAAACATAGCTCTGTATTGGGTCTTGTAGGACTCATGTCTGCATTGTAATGAAAGGAAAGGTCATTCAGAACAGTCAATAAGCCTCAAAAGCTTGACAGTGCATAACATAAAAGTATGCAAGCAATAAAACTCAATTGCTAAAGATATTAAAGTGAGCTCAAGCTTTGCCCATACTGGTTCATGTTAATGGAGGCCCAGTCAGCAGCTTCCTTACCTATCCTTTGCACACCTGCAGCTGTGTTCAGCTACATCAGGCACATCTCTGAGTAAACTCCATACAGGGTTCATGGCTATCTCACCATCCTCCAGTTGCTAAGCACCAAAGATGTCATGTGGAAAGGAGGGGAATGAGTAATGAATATGTAAAGTGTACAATAGGTAGTTTTTATTTCTTTTGTTTTGGATAGCATGACAATGGATTAGTACCTCCACTGGGACTTAATGTGATGAGGGGCTCTGTACTTATTGTCCTGAAGAAATATTTCCAACAGTAGTAGAAGTATGGTATAGGCGGACATTGCTACACTATATTGCCAGATGTATTGGGACACCTGCCTTTACACGCACATGAACTTTAATGGCATCCCAGTCTTAGTCCGTAGGGTTCAATACTGAGTTGGCCCATCCTTTGTAGCTATAACAGCTTCAACTCTTCTGGGAAGGTTGTCCACAAGGTGTCTATGGGAATGTTTGACCATTCTTACAGAAGCGCACTTGTGAGATCAGGCACTGATGTCAGATGTGAAGGCCTGGCTTGCAGTCTCCGCTCTAATTCATCCCAAAGGTGTTTCATCGGGTTGAGGTCAGGACTGTCAAGTTCCTTCACCACAAAATCGCTCATTTATTTTATTTATTTCAAGTACTTATATGGCGCCATAAATTTATGCAGTGCTTTACATATATTGTACATTCACATCAGTCCCAAACCCTCAAGGGGTGTACAATCTAAGGTCTCTAAATCACATTCATACATACACATACTAGGGCCAATTTAGACAGGATCCAATTAACCTACCAGCATGTCTTTGGAGTGTGGGAGGAAACTGGAGAACCCAGAGGAAACCCACGCAGGCACAGGGAGAATATGCAAACTCTAGGCAGGTGGTGCCGTGGTTGGGATTCGAACCAGCAACTCTAGTACTGCCAAGCGGAAGTGCTAACCATCCATGTCTTTATGGACCTTGCTTTGTGCACTGGTGTGCAGTCATCTTGGAACAGGAAGGGGCCATCCCCAAATGGTTCCCACAAAGTTGGGAGCAAGAAATATTCCAAATTGTATTGGTATGCTGAGGCCTTAAGAGTTCCCTTCACTGGAACTATGGGGCCAAGCCCAACCCCTGAAAAACAACCCCACACCATAATCCCCCTCCACCAAACTTTACACTTGGCACAATGCAGTCAGGCAAGTACCGTTCTCCTGGCAACCGCCAAACCCAGACATGTCCATCGGATTGCCAGAAAGAGAAGCGTGATTCAACACTCCGGAGAACACATCTCCACTGCTCTAGAGTCCAGTGGCAGCGTGCTTTACACCCCTGCATCTGACGCTTTGCATTGCGCTTGGTGATGTAAGGCTTGGATGCAGCTGCTCGGCCATGGAAACCCATTCCATGAAGCTCTCTATGCACTGTTGTGCTAATCTGAAGGCCACACGAAGTTTGGAGGTCTTTAGCTATTGACTCTGCAGACAGTTGGCGACTTCTGCGCCCAGTACGCTTCAGCATGCGCTGACCCCGCTCTGTCATTTTACGTGGCCTACCACTTCGTGGCTGACTTGCTGTTGTTCTCAGTTGCTTCCACTTTGTTATAATACCACTAACAGTTGACCGTGGAATATTTAGTAGCAAGGAAATTTCACGGATGGACTTAATGCACAGATGACAACCTATCACTGTGCCACACTTGAATTCACTGAGCTCCTGAGAGTGACCCATTCTTTCACAAATATTTGTAGAAGCAGTTTGCATGCCTGGGTGCTTGATTTTATACACCTGCGGCCATGAAGGTGATTGGAACACCTGAATCCAATGATTTGAAGGGGTGGCCCAATACATTTGGCAAGATAGTGTATCTGTGTCTCTGGTGCAGATATTCCCTTGATAGGAAGTACAGGGATTTCTCTCTAAAAGAACCTGAGATGGCAATGAAACCCAATCAGGATTCTAAACCTATCATACTCTATCCACAAACGAAATAAAAAGGGGTCATTAGCAAGGGGGGCAACATTTGTCCTGGAAAATTCCTCTACTGATTGCTGACAAATCACTCACCTTTGGCAATCCAAGCAGAGAGTAGTCATGCAGGCTGGGCAATTCAAAATGGCATCACTATGGGGCAAGGCTTGCACCTTGGTTTGCTGTCCATGCATTTGCCTGTTCCTATATCTAAATCATTGAACAAATAATATATATTAGTCACTGGAAGCTTGACTGGATGTCACACAGGTGTTATATATGGTTCTTTTCTTTACAGGAAATAACAGAACGGCTATGTTTCTGACCAGAGATCTCAGAGAGAAAAACCAAGGGAATCATTTTATTTACTAAGACAAAGTACAAACAAGTATTTGATTAGGAGATCTCTGGCATATCTAAACCATGACAAAAACATATACTGTACAAAGGATATAAAACTGTATGTCAAGGCAAAAAAGAAAAAAAGAGAACATGCAATACATATCTGCAGTACAAGCACATTTCTCCACATTTCTAAAGAATCTGGAAGTAAAGAAAAAATACATGTTAAACTGCCAGCTCTTGTTATGGGCTGACAACATCCAGTTTCTTTTGCTACTACTAAACATTTCGGGTGACATAGCATGGGCCCCGCACTGCCATCTTGGTCCTCTGGTTGCACTGTATGCATGGTGCTGTAGCCTCCTGGGAGATGTGACGTGAATGTTCCAAAAGGCTGCAAGACCAGGGACACATCATTCTGGCCTAGGCTAGAACTGCAGCAGGGTGTAGGAAAGGAGGGGAAAAAATAAAGCTTTTGTTATTGCGGGGGGAGGGGATGAATGGAAAAAAACTGCCTTTTTAGAGTTAAGTTCCGCTTTAACAGACTCTTGGAGATAATTCAAAGTGTGTAGAGCACACAACACAGCTATGAACTCCTAACAAGATGAAAATGTTTTTTTCTTATAACAAACAGATATAAGAAAACACTTTCAATAGTTGAAGAAATAGACCAAAAGAGGACAAATAAGGGAAGTTCAATTATTATGTTTACATACACATTAAGCAGCCACCATTTATCCTCTAGTCTACAGCCAATGGTAGAAGGTGTTATTACACTGGTAGGAAACAGGCAACAAACAGCACAAGAGAGTAATTATGCCCTCACCCTCTTCTCTTTGCATCTACCCATGCCTGATCCCGATCATCCTCATCTGGATCATATAAGAGGTCATCATTGGTTAGTACTTTGTGTCTCTTTCTTTGCTTCTTTCCGTTCTCAACTGAAAAAAGGAAAAGAAGTCACTTTGTTATAATTTAAGAAGTATGTCGCATCAGAAGTACTTGCTTGTTCGCCATTTGGAGGGGTCACCTGTGTGGTTTGTGACAAGACTCGGGTACCCAAATACAGAGTTAATTTCGTAATTGAAAGTTTTTAGCAGATCCCATCTAGGGACATATTTACTTGTAACATGCGCTTTGAAAGTTCCCTTAGCAAAATAGCACAAATAAATGCCTCAGTTTAAGTGTACTTAAGGCCAAATTTCAGATACAGTGTGAAAGTGATAAACCTCTGTCACATTTTATGAAAAAAAAGGGACTTTAGATATATTAAAATGTCCCCTGTAACCCTTATTCCCTCTGAATGCAACCAACCCAGTCCAGTACTGCATCTTTTAACCACTTCCAGTCTGGACACTTTCACCCCCTTCCTGTCCAGGCCAATTTTCAGCTTTCAGTGCTGTCACACTTAAATTTTTTAGCATTTGTCTGAGACCGATAAAACTTTCTTTTGGTGGTATTTATTCACCACTGGGATTTTTATTTTTTTTTTTGCTATATAAAATGAAAAAGTCCAAAAATTTGGGGAAAAAAATGTTTTTCTTACAAAATTTTGAAAATAATCTTTCTTCATAAATCTTGGCCAAAGTGTATTCAGTTATATTTTTAGTAAAAAAAAAAATAAAATAACCCAAATTAGTTTATAACCAAAAATTATAATTTTTCTAAATTTCTTTTGTACATTTTTTTGTTTTTTTTTCTATTATTATTTATGGTTTTTTTTTTCTTTAACATACTGTTATCCTAGCAGTACAGTGTCACCATAGTGGCACTGTACTACTTGTGGGGGGTGATGAAGATTGCTTTTACACCCATAAAGGCTGTAAAAGCAATAATCTCTCCTTCTCTCTGGCTGCATTCTTGCAGCCATTGAAAATACTGTGAGAGCTGTGATTGGTCATAGCTTGTCAAATAGTACAAGGCTGTTGTGAATAGACTTGTACCATGTGACCTCTGTGATCATAAACAGACTTCACTAGTAGTAAGCAATGATGTCAAAAGTGACATCTTGCTTACTACTATTCATGTGATCACTGATTGGCCAATCAGTGATCACATGATCAGCACCTCACACAGAGGTCCCGTACAGTGATCGGTGATCCCAGGGAGCGCGCACAGGCTGTAAATGCGGGCGCCATTTATGAATGGCAACCCACTCCTGCACTGCTCCTGTCTGGCCCATGTACATAAACGGCCGGACGGGAGCAGTGCAGGAGCAGGTTGCCAACTCAGCATTTAAAAAAAAGAAAAAAAAAAAAAAAAAGGTTTTGCACACATTTAAATCTGCATTTTTGCCAGAAAATGGCTTCAAAACCCTAAACAATTATATATTTACTCCAAACAGAGGTCCTGTAGATTAAAATGGTGGCAACTGCATTTTTTTATGTTGCAGGATATTTGTGCAACTGTTTATCAAACCTATATTTTTAGTATAAAAGTACACAAAAATGAATTTTAATGCACACAAAACACAATATAATACCCAGTTTTTTTGGTAAAATAGAAAAGATGGAGTTGTGTTGAGTAAATAGATAACAAACAAGTCAAGCCTTAAAAATTCACATGCTTGGAAAATGGGAAAAACTATGACACCCAAAATTATCCATTTACACTGGATATAAAAATTCTACACAACCGTTAAAAAAAGTGAGGTTTCTGTGATGTAAAAAATGAGACAAAGATAAATCATTTCAGAACTTTTTCCACCTTTAATGTAACCTATAAACTGTACAACTCAGTTGAACAACAAACTGAAATCTTTTAGGTGGAGGGAAGTAAAAATAAAAAACAAAAATAATACAGTTGCATAAGTGTGCACACCGTTTGATTTTATTACAGCACTCAGTTTTCCTGGGTATGAGTCTATCAGCATGGCACATCTTGACGTGGCAATATTTGCCCACTCTTCCTTTCAAAAACACCCCAAAATCTGTCATATTGCAGGGTCATCTCCTGTGCACAGCCCTCTTCAGATCACCTCACAGATTTTCAATCAGATTCAGGTCTGGGCCATTCCAAAACTTTAATCTTCTTCTGGTGAAGCCATTCCTTTGTTGATTTGGATGTAAGCTTTGGGTTGTCATGCTGAAAGATGAAGTTCCTCTTCATGTTCAGCTTTCTAGCAGAAGCCTGAAGGTTTTGGGCCAATATTGGCTGGTATTTGGACCTGTTTATAATTCCCTCTACCTTGACTAAGGCCCCAGTTCCAGCTGAAGAAAAAACAGCCCCAAAGCATTATGCTGCCACCACCATGCTTCACTGTGAGTATGGTGTTTTTTTGGTGATGTGCAGTGTTGTTTTTGCACAAAACAAATCTTTTGGAATTATGGCCAAAATGTTCAACCTTGGTTTCATCAGACCAGAACACATTTTCCCACATGCTTTTGGGAGACTTCAGATGTGTTTTTGCAAAATGTAGGCGGGCTTGGAAATTTTTCTCTGTAAGAAAAGGCTTCCGTCTTGCCACTCTACCCCATAGCCCAGACATATGAAGAATACAGGAGATTGTTGTCACATGTACCACACAGCCAGTACTTGCCAGATATTCCTGCAGCTCCTTTAATGTTGCTGTAGGCCTCTTTGTAGCCTGCCCGACCAATTTTCTTCTCGTCTTTTCATCAATTTTGGAGGGACTAGGGTTCTTGGTAATGTCACTGTTGCGCCACATTTTCTCCACTTGATGATGACTGTCTTCACTGTGTTCCATGGTATATCTAATGCCTTGGAAATTCTTTTGTACCCTTCTCTCGGATTGATACAGTGAGATCCCTCTGATGCTTTGGAAGCTCTCTGCCCCCCATGGCTTGTGCTGTAGGATGTGACTAAGAAAATGTCAGGAAGGACCTACTAGCACAGCTGAACTTTATTTGGGATTAATCAGAGGCACTTTAAATGATGGCAGTTATGTACTGACTCATATTTAACATGATTTTGGATGTGATTGCTTAATTCTGAACAGAGCTACATCCCCAGTTATAAGAGGGTGTGTACACTTATGCAACTACATTATTTTAGTTTTTTATGTTTACTCCCCCCCCCCAAAAAAAGAAAAATAATTCAGTTTGTTTTGCATTTGAGTTGTACAGTTTATAGGTCACATTAAAGGTGGAAAAGGTACTGAAATTATTTATCTTTGCCTCATTTTTTTACATCACAGAAATCTGACATTTTAACAGGGGTTGTGTAGACTTTTTATGTCCACTGGACATGCCGCCAGTTTAGAGTTAACAGTACAAGATAACCCTAGAATCATTGCTCTCTCAGTCCAAAGTTTGTTGTCATATCTGACATGTGGCGTAATTGCAGTTTACATACATATGTCTGCCCTAAATGCACATTTGCATTTATATGTATGAGCAGGGCGACAGAGTTAATTTAATTTTTTTTTTGCAATTAAATTTTTAACATTCTTATTTATTTCATTGATATTCTTGATATCAAGTGACAGGTGGTTCTTCTTATGGACACACCAGTTGTCTACTAGACCCCTAATGTCTCCCCTGCCTTTTAGTCCAGCAGCTCAAACAGGGGACTGTGCTTGGTCCACCCTTTAGCTGGCATTGAGCCAGGATTTTGACAGGTCTGAATGCAGACATGTACAGAGCTGAGCACTTCTGGGTTTATGGATTGCAGAGCATGTTCCTTGATCTGCTCCTCCTCACCATCTTAACAATCCACTTCTCTAGAGCTCAAGACCACAGTAAACAATGTCAAGATGGGGAGCCATGGCGGGGAATTCGATGCATCATAAAAAGGGATGATACTGATGAGCTTGCTGAGAAAAACAAAAACAAAACACAATTCCAAGCTTGTGACAGCTGTGAACGTATTTTAACTTGACTACCAGGTGGTTTATAAAAGTACTTTGGAAGGACAAGGGGTTAAGTAAAAAGCACATAAGGCATTGAGTTATAAAAATATAATTATTAAAATTCCTATAATGTCCTTTACATTTAACATTTAATAGCAGCCCTGTTTTTTGACAGATTACAATTAAAATGCAGTAATAGCAGACTACTTCCCCGGTATTCAAGATATATCCCTGCTTGTGATGCTTTTGCCAACATTACCTTCCTCCTCAGAGTCAGAATCAAAATACACATCATCATAATACTGCTGATTGCTGCCCTCTGCTGATGTGGTGGCAGAACTGCTGGATGCACCTAAAACACATTTGAACATGGTAAATATAAAAAAAAATTAGATAAATTAGGAAACACTTTAAAAACATTGTATGAATACAAATACATTTGAAAAGAGTAACTTTACATTGCCTAGCTCACCTTTGTAAAGTAAATAAACAGTAAAAGCATTATCAGCACCATTTCTGGAGTCAAGAATTGGGAGGAACTGACAAGAAAATTGAATTACAGAATACTTCCTATGTTCCCAAGTATCAGTGAGCACTTCCTTTGTTAAAAATCTGTCCAAAGTGTCAGGAGATTTCAAATAAGGAAGTATGTTCTCTATGTTCATCCAGTAGCTCCATAATGCAGTGCTGACCATGCGTGGACCACACAATGGCACAAGTAACCAGTGTGCATATTTATATCAGGCTGAAATGAACTATAACCACTGCGCAGTTTTCTTAGATTATCATAAAGGTATTTATTAGTATAAAAGACATTTTAGTGGTCATTTTTTCCAGCACAGCCCAAACACATGAATACTTTGTCCTATCTTTCTAGGTGCCCCATAATGCTGTAACATCAGGACAGGGCGCATGGCCTCCTGACACCACAGCTAGCAAGGAGACAGCTGCTTTGTTAGCAAGTGATTGTCCTCTGAGGCCAACATTAAATGGCACTTAGGAAGATGGGACAACATACTATTAGTACTCAAGGACTGAATATTGTGGGAAAAAAAAAAAAAAAAGAATGAAAGAAACAGAGGAAACTTTTTTAAAGTCACATTGGCAAATCATTGGCATCCTCTCTGGTTTATGAAGATATTAAGTACAGTATTGTGTTTTTTGAAAATTATAATGCTAAATACCTTCTCCCACAGCAGCACTGTGTGGTCACATGATCTCCCTCCGCACTCCTGCACCGATCTAAGGAGAGCAGCAGGAGAGGCTGAGATTCCCCTCTGAGTATGCCAGTCGGCAGAGGGAGATCACGTGACTGCATAATGGCACTGCAAGAGAAGGTATTTAGCATTGTCATTTTCAAAAAACACACATACTGTAACTAAATATCTTCATGAACGCGATGCCAGTGATTGATATATATATTACAGCCGAATAGCGGAAGCGGGGGGGAATCGTCTCTCACACACAGACTAGGAAATGACAGGTAGGGGGGGAGAGGGGGAGACTGTACACAGCGGGATGATGGAGGCACATAAACTGACCACAGCATCATGGATCAGTAGATTTCTGTGGTCAGTACTCACAGGGGGACACAGGAACAGGCAGGGTCAACCAGGTATTTTAGAAAATAGAATGGGACAAATTAAACCACAGACGCACTCTGCTATTTACCACTGCTTTAAAGGAACATGATTTTTTTTTAGGGTTACAACTGTTTTAACTGTTGCTAATTTAGTGAGATATCAGTTATGTGGCCTGAGTACAGGTGACAAACCCAGCTGGAAAAATTCCAACAATTGGCTGTGTGTGCGCTGACAAGGCTATAAATGGATTGTGGATAGGTGAGGACAAGAATGTAAAAGGGTCTGTATACTACCTCAGGAACAGAGATATCACCACTGTATTCCCTATGAGATATTAGAAATCAGTGAATGATTCAACAGGCCAACATGTTCCAAAAATATTTTTATTAACACAGTGTAAAAGTACCTTAGGCCTTCAAGGCATAGAAAGTTATGAATAGCATTTTTTTTTTTACAAATGTTTTACTGAGAATACTCCATAGTCAGTCAATCATGTATCCACTTGTCTTCAAACTAATTTTCAGCCCTGATCAGGGGGAATGTTTGAAAAATGTTGGCTGTAGTTGACATTCAATAAAAGTGCTTTTCTGGACTTTTAAAAAGAAGTCTGGTGGTTTCCTTGCCTTGCACCAGTTCAATACCTTGAGTCACAGTCCATAAATAAGCACACAGTGAAGTGAAATCAGAACTCCTGATCTGAAAACTGATCCAAATCAGTGACTTGAAAAGTATCAAAGCCAATACAAAAGCAGGACAACTAGAAATCTTCTAAAAGGATGGGTCAGCAGTGGCAGTCCACATATTTTTCTCAGTAGATTTCCTTCACACTATTCTCATTTTGTTACAATGAGTCCACATGTACCTGTTCGTTGAGGTTGCCAGCTTCCCTCCATCGTCTTCATAGTAGAACTCAGCTCCTTCTCCATCTCTTTCTCAAACTCATCTTCACTGGAGGACTCACTCTCCCCAGTCAGATATTCCCGAATAAGCTTACGCTTCTGATCAGGTGTTCCATGTAAGAGCACATCCAATTCATCTTCAGAACTATGTAAAGAGATCAGAGAATGTACACTGAAGTCAGCAAATACAACTGCTTATTGAAAGTATACCACTGTTTATTACAGTACAATAAATATACACAAGTCAGTTGCATGTGCTATCATTCCACTCCAACAAGCATTTTAGTTGTTTCACTTTTCCTGATGAGCCGAATCATGTACTGGCCCTATCACAGAACTTTGGCGCCTCCAGAATTTCCATTTCCACCCAAACCCCAAAAAAAGTACAATGTATTCTCCAATAAATTCTATTTAGGGCAGGATAAACAAATAACTGAAGGAGTTAGTAGCAATGGAGTGATACCTTGTTTGTGGCCTTGTGGTAGGGGAAGATATACAACCTGGTATAGGGAAATCCTAATACTGCAGCATCCAACAGAAACAAGTATTCACTGGGAGATTCAACACACCAGAGCATATTTAAAACAAAAATGCTAGTTTAGGTTAGCATAAAAATTATTTGCGTGTCCAACTAAAACTTTATTTAAGGATAGAATGGGGTAGGAGTTAGGATCCCTATTAGATATTTACCACTGACCATGCTTTGCTAGTGAGATTTCCCCTCACCTCCTTTTCCTGCAACAATAATTTCACCAGACAGAAAGTAAGGTGGTAAGTATTCAACAGCCCAAAGACGAAAAAAAAAAATTCTCTAATTTCCTGTCTAGCAAAACTGTTGTTCTGTGGACAAAAAGTGACCAGAGTCCCAGAAAGCAGTGAAAGACTGACAAGGGTTCAAATCCTTCCTTCTTTTAAAAAGAGAAATGCAAATGTCTTGCCAAACCAAGCAACCACAGTTGTTAAGATAGACAAACGTCCAGCACTGCCGGAGGATAAAGCATCCGTTTACAGAAGAAACAAAAAATTGTCCTGAGAAAGCAAGGTGTAGCAGGTATGCAGTTACCCCATCTTCTCCTACAGATTAATATGCCAACCTGTGACAATGGACATGGAATTGGCTGTGAAATGTTAGATCCCATATATCTGTCTGTAGTACTGTCAGAGGAGTTGAATCAAAATTAGATCTGATAATGATTTTAGTAAAATTGGTTATAAAAGGTTTTGGGGTTTTGATTTAGGTTGCTATGAAAGTAAGGTCTGTCCTCCTTAGTGAAAGACCTTCGTAAGTCAGTGTAAAAGGAACACCACATACAAAAGCTCTTGAAACAAGATGATATTTACCGTATATTTCGCTCCATAAGACGCACTTTCCCCCCCCCAAAAATGGGGGAAAATGTCTGTGCGTCTTATGGAGCGGCCGGCCCAGTATTCAAGCCGCCGTAATAGAATACCGGGCCGAACGCTTGGCTCTACTGTGAAGAAGAAACCCGCTCCTCCGTCCTACCTGTTCCTCAGTCCAGCGGTGTCCTGCTTCCATAGGCCGTCTTCTCTCCCTCGCGCCGGCATCTTCAGTGTGGGCACCCAGCTGTGACTGCTTGCGGCTTCACAGCCAGGTGCCCACTGCGCATGCGCGAGAAGAGCTGAGCTTTGTGAATGGCCCTGTAGTCTTGTGGGACCTGTCATGTGTCCCCACAAGACTACAGGGAGGGGGGGGCCAGGACAACTCTGCGGAAGTGGGAGCGGGTACCTGCCCAAAGGTCCGCAGTCTCTGGTCATCTCCTGTGCGGTGTCCGCAGTCTCTGGTCATCTCCTGTGCGGTGTCCGCAGTCTCTGGTCATCTCCTGTGCGGTGTCCGCAGTCTCTGGTCATCTCCTGTGCGGTGTCCGCAGTCTCTGGTCATCTCCTGTGCGGTGTCCGCAGTCTCTGGTCATCTCCTGTGCGGTGTCCGCAGTCTCTGGTCATCTCCTGTGCGGTGTCCGCGCAGTCTCTGGTCATCTCCTGTGCGGTGTCCGCAGTCTCTGGTCATCTCCTGTGCGGTGTCCGCAGTCTCTGGTCATCTCCTGTGCGGTGTCCGCAGTCTCTGGTCATCTCCTGTGCGGTGTCCGCAGTCTCTGGTCATCTCCTGTGCGGTGCCCGCAGTCTCTGGTCATCTCCTGTGCGGTGCCCGCAGTCTCTGGTCATCTCCTGTGCTGTGCCCGCAGTCTCTGGTCATCTCCTGTGCTGTGCCCGCAGTCTCTGGTCATCTCCTGTGCTGTGCCCGCAGTCTCTGGTCATCTCCTGTGCTGTGCCCGCAGTCTCTGGTCATCTCCTGTGCTGTGCCCGCAGTCTCTGGTCATCTCCTGTGCTGTGTCCGCAGTCTTTGGTCATCTCCTGTACTATGTCCGCAGTCCACTGGTTCAGAATTGTTTTTTTTCTTGTTTTCCTCCTCTAAAATCTAAGTGCGTTTTATAGTCAGGTGCGCCTTATGGAGCGAAAAATACGGTAGATAGTTGTCCTTACATTAATCCAGAGAAAATTGATTGATTTTAAGACTAAACATCCTGTTTCCAGTTTTTTTTTTCTATTACCAAAGTTTTAAATTTAAAGTGATAGTAAAGGTTCAGATGTTTTGTTTTAAAGATAACAAACATGTTATACTTACCTCAAAAAACATGCCGTACTTTCTCCTTAAAATACTGAAATACCCAAACCCATATGTGTCATCAAATTACCATGTGAATGTATATATCTTCTGTTCAATATCACATGGATAATGAAAAAGTGAACATTAAAAAAAAAAAAAAAGTGAATAAATAAAATAATACTTTAACCCAAAAAAATGGTGTATTCCTTATATTTCTCCAATCAATATAGTGTGCCACCAGTCAATGAATATTCAATAAATATGCCCAAATCTTCTCTTAATTTGTGCACCTGCACCAACACACCCGGTGTGCTCTCATCTAGAGCTTTTGATCTCACATGTATAAATGTCTGGTCAAATAGCGTTTGTGTCCCTTTAACTGGAGTTTGTAGGGATGTCTCCTGGATTATGATTCACTCTTGTGGGCAGATCAAATCCTCTATGTACAACCTTCCTCCTTCTAACTTCACCACTCAGCCTGCTGATTCTGCCAGAATCTGCTGCGGTCCTGAAATGAGGAAATCTCTTGTGGTCCAGAAGTCCAATGCAGTCTGCACAGGTTGTCTTGTTTTTCCCCTGTGCAGACTATATTGGATTCCTGGACCACAAGGGATTTCCTCATTTCAGGACCGCAGCGGATTCTGGCAGAATCAGTAGGCTGAGAGGTGAAGTTAAAAAAAGGAGGTTGTACATAGAGGATTCAATCTGCTTCTTTCCTTTCTCAACTGAAAAAGGAAAAGAAGTCACTTTGTTATAATTTAAGAAGTATATCGCATCAGAAGTACTTGCTTGTTCGCTGTTTTCCAGGGATCACCTGTGTGGTTTGTGACAAGACTCGGGTACCCAAATACAGAGTTTAATTTCATAATTGAAAGTATTTAGCAGATCCCATCTAGGGACATATTTACATGCAACATGCTCTTTGGAAATTCCCTTAGCAAAATAGCACAAATGCCCCAGTTTAAGTGTACTTAAGGCCAAATATTTTATGTGAAAGTGATAAACCTGTCACATTTTATGAAAAAAGGGGCTTTAGATATATTAAAATGTCCCCTGTAACCCTTATTCCCTCTGAATGCAACCAACCCAGTCCAGTACTGCATCCTTTAACAACTCAGTATTTAAAAAAAAGAAAGTTTTGCATACGTTTAAATCTGCAATTATATATTTTGCAAACAGAGGTCCTGTAGATTAAAATGGTGGCAACTGCAAAATTTATTATGTTGCAAGATATTTGTGCAACTGTTTATCAAACTTTTATTTTTAGCATAAAAGTACACTTAAATTAATTTTAATGCACACAAAAAAACAATATAATACCCAATTTTTTTTTTTGTAAAATTGAAAAGATGGAGAGTTGTGTTGAGTAAACAGATACCAAAGAAGTCAAGCCTTAAAAATTCACATGCTTGGAAAATGGCAAAAACGATGGCACCCAAAATTATCCATTTACATGCCACCAGTTTAGAGTTAACAAGATAACCCTATAGTTGCACAGAATGCATGAAGGTAAAAAGCCTTCAGCACCACTTTAAATATAGACAAGGACATACAATATGAACTCAGAGGCTGTAGTTACAGTACAAATAATCTGAGTGCCTGCAAGGCTATAGGGCTATATTCCACATTTTTTTAAATATAGGATTCTCCAACACTCTGACATATCCAGGTGCCATAATTATCATATTCTGCCTCACAATTTTAGTAAGATAGTGCCAATAAAATTTCAATTCTGTACATAAACAAAAAATAAGCCTGCATACTAACATACAAACACAGAGACATCCCACCTGCTATTGCCACGTTCTTCATCGCTGGGCTCTTCAATTGGATAAGCATCATACTCAGGCTGGAACCGGTTCATGATGATACCTAACCGGCATGCAGCATTAGCGGTGCTCTGCTAATTTACCCTGAAGGGAATGATATGCCAAGTTATTACATGTAAAATAACAACCGAAATACAAGAGAATATACAACTCTTACAATAAAGCTGCATTGCAAGCTACCATTTCTGAAAGCTTTGAGAATTCCAGTTGCCTGCTTTCTGCTCTGATCCAATGGCTTTGTTTCTAGGCCAGCGACTTAAAGCGGCACTGAAATCATAATTTTAAAGACAGCAAGCAGGCAGGCTCTTTGTTGCACAAAATACATGCAATGTCAATTTTGCAATAATATAAACCAAGTTGTCCGCTCGCTGTCTTTAGAATGTACACCAAGCTCTACATGCCCAGCTCAGTTTACATTGCAGCACAGTGCTTGTGTGCCAGGTTGACTGAACTTTTGTGCATGCGCATGGCTAACATCCCCCACTGGGGAGGCTACACCACACTGCAGGGGTTAATAGCTGGTTTTGTCTTGGGGGAGAGGAGAAACAGCTTTAGTTATGTGATTCACTGCGCCCCCAGCAGGTGGTGCTCCTCCACGATCCAGTGGTGGTCTGTCCCTCAGCACTTTACATCCAATGCTGGGCTATGGGCCCTGCTCTGCTCTTGATGAAGTCAATATGCTAGACTGGTAGAGAGTGGAGGTG